ATAAGTGAGGAGTGAGTATATGTATATATGCATTTATATGTATATATATGTATATGTGTGCATATATATGTATGTATATATATATAAAATACACACACACACCAGTTTCTGTTCAGTGGATTCTAACTCAGAATAACCCTGTATGTTTCAGAGCAGAACTGTGCTCCATAGGGTCTTCAACAGTTGATTTTTCAGAAGTGTATCACCAGGCCTTTGTTCTGAGGCACCTCTGGGTAGACTTGAACCTCTAAACTTCTTTCGGTTAGCAACTGAGCATTTTAACTATTTTCACCACCCCAGGACACCATATATCTATCTGTCTATATAGATAGATAGATAAATGTATATAAATATAATACACACATATAGTGTGTATAAACAGACACGTGTGTATATACATACACACACACATATATACATATATATAAAACAAGATTCACCAGTAGGATATTTGTAAATGTTAAAAGTCAGGCCTGTAAATGGCCAGCCAGCCTCTTGAGGAGATAAAAAGAAAACACCCATTTGAGTTCACCCTGAAGGAGGCCCCAGACCACTGCGCAGCTCGGTGGAGCTTGCTCGTATTGACTCTGGGGTTTATCATTAACTGGAACCAAACTTTTTCTGAGACTGGCAGTGGTACATTGCATACATGGCAGGGCGACAAAACCCAAGGTGGTTTTGGAGAAGCAGGTCTGTTGACTCAGACTTAATTTTCAAAAACAAGCCCAAGAGAAAGGAGAGCGCCGTGGCTCCTGCAGAGGCTCTCTGGGGACGTTAAGTCCAGCTAGGACAGCCCCGCTGGTGAACGAAACACACTTCCTGAGCTGAAAGATAAAATTAGCAGCTAATGTGATAACTAACTATCCCATAATGAAACAATCTGGCAGCCCTGTCAGGTATCTGCTGGGTCTAATCTGTTCTGGAACTCTCTGGTAGCCCCGTTGGGACTCCTCCCTCTTTCCACCCTTCCTGTCCAGCTCACAGGTAAGAGAGACGCTTCATTCTTCCGGGCACTCTCTCCCCACTGTGTCTTGTTTTTTAAAAATTCACTGAATATGCCATGCAACCTCCGGCCTCAACCTCCCTTTCAAAGGCCAACCAAGTCAGTGAAGGAGAAGAGGAGGAAGGTGCAAACAGCCCAGTCACACGTGCACCAGTTGCTCCCTCCCCGACACTGGCAGGGTCAACCTCTGCTAACGTGGGACGTGGGACGGGAGGTGTGGTGGGGTTTTGCAATGCCTGTAACTGCTGTCTCTGAACAACTGGGTACAGACCGGAGCCTGGACTTGTGCCAGCTCAGCCTCTGCTGTGGTCATGCTGTGCTATTTAAGGAAGCCCTTCCCCCACCACTCCCACGCCACGCTTCCCTGGTGAAGCAGAGGAGAGGACATCAACCTTGTGTGTCTCATTCATCATGAGATGCGGGGCTCCTGGCCAGGGCCTGGCTGGCAGTAGGAAGTGGGTACACTTTGTTAAATGGATTGATGGACGGACAGACAGATGGATGGATGGGAGGATGGACAATCATGTGGGAGTGGAAATAAACCTTTTCTTCACAGAGCTAGCTCTCCTTCTTGCTCAGGCCACAGCCACACAGGCTGAGTATTTTCTCAGGTACCCACAGGAAGAGAGGCACGTGGAGACAAAGGAAAAAAGAGAGAAGAGAGATCAGTTCCCCACCCTAAAGAATCATTTAACTATCAACCTTCAGCTTTGAGAAAGGGGTAAGAAACGGACATTCTCACACACAGCTGGTGGGACTGTGGGCTGGTGCTGCTTTTTCTGGTGGGCAGGTTGAATCAAAAGCCTTAATTAACCTTGTACTTCTAAGAATTTATGGAAAACCATCAGAGACGTGCTCAGAGACCTCTATGTAAGGTTAATCACTGTAGGATTATTAATAAACAAGAAAATCAATTCACAAAATCCAACAGGTTTACTTTCCCATCTACCCCTGGTACCTAGATAAACCCAGAAGAACATCTTCTCCCTGAGGGTTTGGTATAACTCCCTTAAACCAGACAAACGAGAAATGAGATCTAGTCACCTTCTGCCTCACTCACTCCTTAACATTTGTCTGTAGACCATGATAGCAACAACTTTTCATAGGGGTCCATTTGTACATTAATTAAAAGATTCATGTGATTTCCCAACAGACTTTGGGGAGGCAGGCTGGAATGGGGATAGAAACTGGATTTCCCCTCCCACCCTCGCATAGACTTTTATAACCATGATTAATCTTCCCCAACCCCCGCCCATTTACTCTTTCCTGCTTCCCTGACCTAATGCCCCCAGAAAATTCAGGAAGACTAAACAGCAACTTCACTGGAATTCTCTGAAGCCACTGTTTTTCCAAGGATGGAAGGCTGACTAGTAGGCCCAGCATAAATAGTACTTATTTGCTACCTAATCTAAAGACGCTAAAAAAACCCAAGGCAGTGGCTTTGAAGGTCCCATTAACCAGCTTTGTGAATAAGGAAATAAACCACATTATAGCAGAGGAATAAGTCAAGTTCTCTGCCTTGGTCATCACATGAAGAAAGCTTGCATTCAAATCAAATTATGGGGCAGAGAATAAGGGAGCTTTCACCAACATTTATACCACAGCAAAGAAAATTTTCTCCATGAAAAGAAACTGACAGAAGCTATGAAAAATTTGCTCTTGAAACGTTATTGAGGCCTCTGGGTATGTCTATTTAATTCCAAACAAAGCCAAAGTTTTGTCTTAGAAAGCTGGGTCTCAAGGGAACATCCTTCTTCCAATGTTCTCAACGACTAAACCCACCAGGCTTTCTGGCTGAGTCTGCGAAAGCTTACCTGGTTCCTTCTACCGATCCGGTTTGGTCCTGGGGGCTTTGTGGGGCACTTGACTTGCGAGCTCCCGCCACTCTCAGCAATCTTCCCTACACTCATTACAGCCGACATCATGGTGTTGATGGAAGATAAGTCTGAACCTTCCAAGCCAACGGGCAAGCCTGACGTCATCGGGACAAGGGTTTAAGCTTCTAAGAAGGCTCTGTTGTAGAACTGAAAATTGGAAATTGCTGATGTGACTGATGGCTGTCAAGTTTAGGCTGAGATCATGGCCAGGTAGCACTGGCCGCCTGGGTTACTATAACTGTCAGTCAAGTCTGAAAGCCTAAAGCCTGCTTTATTCAGTTTAAACTAGTACTCATGTCTATAATGATTCAAGCCTTCAACTAAATGAAAGTTGGCAAAGCAAAGACTAACTGATGATCTTGCTTGTTTCTGAGTCTATGCCACCAAGAGGACTCAACAAGTCATCTGAGGCAGGAGTCTTTGCCTTTCTTAATCCTCTGTTAAGCAGAATTGGGAAAGGCTGAACCAACAGTTAGAGAACCCAGGGAGCTGCCATTTGGCCAGCACCCTCCTAAGAATGTACAGTCACTCACTACTACGTGAATGCCCTTCACCTAAACACTAAGGGTGAGAATTTTCAGGTTGCACTTAACCCCACTGCCACAATACAGTGATTTTTAAGGGGGAGCTCAAAATTTTCTAAGACCACTGAGAGATCAACCCTATCAGAATTGCAGCCAAATTTCGTATCGACACAGGAAAGCCTATTACTTTAAAAATACAAATAAGTAATATACCTGGACGAGTTGAGAAAACCAAACGAAGAAAAACCCTCCCCCTACTGCCAATTACCTCCATTTTCTGCCTCAACTGATACGCTGTGGAATTTCCCCCTGCTGTAGCTATCATCCGCATGGAGTAGCAAATGAGTCTGTTTCGTCTCTTCTTTTCTTCTCTTGGTGCCACTCGTTGACACTGGAATGGAAGCAGAGGTATAAAGGGTTGGTGAATGTCCTTTCATTTAGTGAAGGAAAAACTGAAACTTCTCATTTGCCCTAACTTCAGACTCTATAGTCACAGAAAAACAAGCAGCACAAATGAAACGCGGTTTCTAAATCTTCTTTTTCTTCCCAAACCACATTCTGTGGTTGTTTTTCAACCTTAACTGATGCCCCCTAGGGTGCTGATTTTGTGGTATTTTACTTTCTGATGTACACACACACGCGCGCGCGCACACACACACACACACAGAATTTTCTTACATTCCGTACCTCCTGTCCCCCTCAAACAAGGATGATCAAATTACCACTTGACCCACCTCATGCCTCTACCTGAAACTGACCAAAGACAAGGCAGTTAAGAAAGTCACAGCCTAGAAGGTATTGAGTCAGACTTAAAAGAAACCTGGAAAGATGAACAGTATGACCAAAGGGAGAACTCTGACCCACGGCCACATCATAATTCACTTCTTCAGGGATTCCTTGCAAGGAGAAGTACTAAGGCTATAGGTATGGCCAGAAATACATCTATAGGCAAACTATTTCCCTCCTTTTATCTGAGAAGATAGTCTATAGCTGAAACCCAGCCAGTAAGGCACATATCCCATCAACCCAAACCAGATGGAAAAGATTCAAGCTCGTTACCTCAGCTGGTGAAGCAAGGGCTTATGCTTAGAAATTACAAGAGAAAGGACATGGTTTTTCGTGGTGTCTCCTCAAACGTCAGGGGATGCAACCGAGGATCGGACAAACAGTTACACTGAGAGCAGTTACAAATGCTCAGCTTTCTAGCAGGACAGCAGGAAAAGGCTGGAGCTAGAACTTGATTAAGCCATGCACGCCATCAGCTGAAGTCTCAAAAGCCTACTGAAAGAGAACCTTCAGGGACAGTGCTTTCCTTGTCAAGAGACGAAATGTACTTTCCTTGTTAACAGACATGTTGAACCTAATGGTTTCCCAAATGGTAGGAAAAGGGACTAACTACGGAAACATACAATTTAGGACTACTGACTCACCCTCATCCCACCATCTTTCCCCATCAAGAGAGGAAAGCTATGGCCAGAATTAAAAAAAACCAACAAACTGTCGGCCTTCCATTAAGTTTCCCCATGCCTGAAGAACATTTCAACGTATTTAAAATTGGGTACCAAACTTCCTGTTTTTAATCGTCTCTGCAAGTTTATCTGGGAGATCTCTTTAGGAAAAAGCACACACACACAAGAGCACACGTCTGTGCATACACACACACTGCTTTTCTTTCTTAATGGATTTCTAACAGCAGTTTCCTAAAATTTTTGCAATCAGTCAGCATGCAATTATTTATCTGATTCAAATAAATGGATATTTTCAATACCAAATTCATCTCACTCTTTTAAATACATAATTTTAATGCATAGCAAATTATAAAATAATTGACTCAAAATCTACTGTTACTGTAATTGTGATGTCAGTAAAAATAAAATTAACTTTTCTACCAATGTGTACTAAGGGTTTTGAAGATGATCTTGCTTTTGTTCTATAATTACATTTAAAAGAAAAAATATGATAGAGTTTACTCAAATCTGAAAACAAGTAAGTGTACATACGTTTGGGACTAAATATAAAATTATAAGGTATTAAAAATATACTGAGTCCACCCAGAGGCGCCTTGAAAGAAAAGAAAACTTGTGGTCTACCTCTCCAAAAAATCAGCTATCAGGGAAGGGGGGGTAATATATGTGAATGTGTGCGTGTATATTATGTTCTAATTCTGTCACTGAGTAGGGAAAGAAAATGGAGATGAGTGAAATAGTCAACAGGAATATTAACAAAAATATAACTAAACAGAGCCACACAGCAGTAAGAATTTTTCTCAGTCACTGGTAACATCACCAGTACATTCTTGCAATTTACATAAGTGTCAATGCCTAGGAAATCACTCGGGAGCCCTGATGGCACAATGGTTAAAGCGCTCAGCTGCTAACTGGAAGGTCAGCAGTTCAAACCCACCAGCCGCTCTGGGGCAGAAAAGACTTGGCGATCTGCTTCTGTAAAGATGACAGCCTAGGAAATCCTATAGGGCAGTCATACCCTGTCTCACAGGCTTGCGATGAGTTAGAATCGACTCAGCAGCACATAACAACAACAAGCAAGTCACTACAGTTGGCCAACAGAAGGGCTGGAAGTTCCAAGGGCTCATCCAAACTGGAAGAGAAGAGAAGCCACGCAAACTTGTTGTTTCCCCTTCTGTCTGAACAGGAAGACATTTGCTAAGTTTACTTCCCCCTTTGGGATCAAGTGTAAAGTGTGACACTGCCAACCTATAATGCCAAGATCACCTACACTTACTCCCTTTTCCTAGTTTGCAAGTAAATAAATCACTTTTTTTTTTTTTTAAATAGAAAAGCCTCTCATTGCTGAACTAACAGTGCAACTGACAAAATGAAACTCCACACTGCACTGTTCAGAAAGGAGAAGTTGCTTCACAAGCAGTCAATAACTAGCTTGTTGGAGCTGTTACAAGATTTCACTCCAGCTCCCTCTTGTAGCTTATATTTAAGCTCTCTCTGTGGGATCATGGAGCAGGGAAGGAGGGAAAGAGCCTGGTGTAAAACACAATGTAACTCAGCTTACTGTTCTATGGAGCAGAAAAAAAAAAATTCACCTTAACATTAAGGATCATCTATATGCTGATTAGAAGCAAAGCAAGTTGGCCAGAATGAGTCGATTCTTCCTACCCTCACCCTCTGGATTGTACGAGAGCAATAATCCAAACAAACCTAAACCTTTGGACCGTCGACCTCGGGACTCTTTTGGGAGTCTGAACAGAATTTGAACAGTTTAAGGTCCACTGACAAAGCATATTTTTCTCCAGGGATATTTACAGTCCTAATATGCTCATTCTTTCCTCTGTACTGTTTCCTCTCCCTGATACCATCCCATGCATTGGCCCACCACTGCATGCGCGCGCGCGCGCACACACACACACACACACACACACACACACACACAACAACCCAAACAACCACCACGGGCCCATTTCTAACACAACCCTCTCCAGCTGGAATCAGAGAGGACCAGGAAGCCAGATGACAGTCACACACCACAGCTATGAAAAGAAATCATCCTTTTCATTGAAATCACCATGCAGGCTGGCCTGGGTGCCAGTTTTTAGCACGAACAATCTGGGTTTGGGGCAGGGAGAGGGGTGGGGAGAGAGAAGAAAGGAACGGGGTGTCTGCAGTGTTGCCTCCTGCGAGGCCAACAGTCAAGCACCCTTCTGGGATTTCTCATCCCACACCACAGCCCCATTACATCAAGAACTGGCAATTCAATTGCAATTTCAACATGGCTTTGCATCAAAGCTCCAGGAGGCTCTGGAAAAGAGGCGGGGGCGATTCAAAGGGAGCAGAGGAAGGGTGGGGGGAGGTATGAGGAGACTCAACATTCAGTTATTGTGACTCAAGCCAAGTCAACAATGTTCAACTGACCTGTTTTCTTTGTCTTATCAGGCCGGCCCTCCTTACTGAGGAGCTGGCACGGGCTGGGCCCAAACGTGGGCAGGGTCACACCTCAAAGCCACCACCTCCGGAGCACAAATGTGGAGCAACCTACAAGAATGAGAAGAGGCAACATTAAAAGGGGCTTAAGACCAGAAATGAGCCCATCTCTGTACCGTTTTCTCCACTTAATACCACCAATACCCAAACCCGTTGTCTTCGAGTCGATTCTGGTTCATGGCAACCCTACGTTACAGAGTAGAACTGAGCTCCATAGGGTTCTCTTGGCTGTACTCTACAAAAACCGATTGCCGGGCTTTCTTCCACGGCACTGCTGGGTGACTTCGAACTGCCAACCTTTAGGTTAGTAATCCAGCACAAAACGTTTGCACCACCCAGGGATGCAAATTACAGACAGCAGAGTACTTCCCATTTCCTGCCTGTGCTTACAAGCAGCTTCTAGTTCATATTCCACCCAGAGTCCAATTAACATCCAAACAAGGGCAACAGGAGTCCACTATGTCTTGAACAGACCAGTTGCCATTAAGTCAACTGTGACTCATGGCGACTGCATGTGTGTCAGAGTACAACTGTGCTCCATAGGGTTTTCAAAGGCTGATTTTTCAGCAGTAGACCACCAGGCCTTTCTTCCGATGCATCTCTGGGTAGACTCAAACCTCCAAGCTTTCGGGTAGCAGCTGGGCACGTGAACTGTTTGCACCACTGGAGAACGACTTGAACTACTGGTTCCAGGCAGAACTTCTAGCACCTCAGTGGCAGATGCCTATGGACCACCAGTTTACAGGGAAAAGTGCTATCAAAAACAGGGAAGAAGAAAGAAAGAGTCGCAGAAAGAAAGAAAAATCAGAAATAAACAGTCCCTCTGAGGTAAAGGAGCCCTGGCGGCACAGTGGTTAACAGCTACGGCTGCTAACCGAAAGGTCTACAGTTCAATTCCATCAGCCACTCCTTGGAAACCCTATGGGGCAGTTCTTCGCTGTCCTACAGGGTTGCTACGAAGTTGGAATTGACTCGATGGCAATAGGTTTTTGAAGTAAAGGAGAGATTCTTTCATGTCTTCCTGACTGATAGGGGAAGTCTCTGTAACACACCCTTTCTGTAGGGAAGATGCAGAAAACATCTTTTAAATGGCACGCCATTCAGGAGTTTGAGAAGGTCTCCTCTGTGGTACCAAGGGCATCAAACACCTGGAGAAAACTGTTTGGCCCTTTAAAAAGTTACAGAGTGTAATGTAGGATTCTCTAAGGCTAAAGCATTCAGCCCACTACCTGTCTGCCAGTTTGTTGTACTGCAGGTTGCTATGATGCTGGAAGCTATCAAATACCAGGAGAGTCACCCATGGTGGACAGGTTTCTGTGGACAGACTAGGAATAAAGGCCTGGTGACCTACTTCCAAAAACCAGATAATGAAAACCTATAGATCACAAGAGAACACTGTCCAATACAGTGCTGGAAGATGAGCCCCCTAGGTTGGAAGGTGCTCAAAATACATAGTGGCCACAATAATGGACTCGAGCATACCAACAATTGCAAAGATGACGCAGGACTGGGCAACATTTCGTTCTATTGTACATGGGATTGCCATGAGTCGCAGCCAAATTGATGGTAACTAAGAATAACAACAACGAAGCATTCAGCCACAGTCTCTGTCTCTGACTGCAGCATCCCTAAGGTAAGCCGAACAGTGTAAAACCGGGAGAAGATAAAACCAAACCAAACGCACTTGCATCAAGTCGATTCCGACTCATCGCGACCCTACAGGACAGAGTAGAACTGCCTCTTAGGGTTTCCAAGCTGTAATCTTTACAGAAGCAGACTGTCACATCGTTATACTACAGAGTAGCTGGTGGGTTCAAACCATCGACCTTTCAGTTAGCAGTCAAGAGCTTAACCACTGTGCCACCAGGGCTCCATGAGACTAGAGAGGAAAAACAAACCACCACGCAGACAAGACCTGTCCCAATCAGGTAACATGGTTATCCTGAATTGTACTCACTTGGGTCCTGGGCACCTGCAGTAGGCAAGCTCCAGGCTAGACTGGGCTGCTGGGGGCAAAAAGCACCACCAACTCCTCCTATTCAAGGCAGCTCCTCAGTATGTCTGACACCATGGTTCTTCCCAAATAGTTTCTCTTTTTACACCTGACTGCTTCAAACTCTCCATCTTTTTACTTGAGTGTTTCTCTTTTGAAAGGTGTTTTGGATTTTAAAGGGAAATATTAGGAAACAAGGAGTTCCCCCCTAGAGACGGCCCCTAAAATGAGAGAAGGAGGCTTTTAAGTCTCTAAGCACACTAGGACCCCAACAGTTCTCAATGTTTCTTGGATCAAGACCCTCCTTGAGAATGATGAACATTACAGACCCTCTCACAGAAAAATGCACCTACTGGACATCCAACATTGTGTGCTCACTACCAGGAGGGCCAGGGGCCCCAGAAACCCATCCAGAGACAGCAGTATAAGAATCCTTGTTTTATCTGATGTATAACCTGCCCTCCTCTAAACTACAAATCAAGTCAATTTTATTAAAATTGCCATGCAGTTTTCAAAATGCACAAACAAAACTTCCTTTCACATCATCCCTACTCGTTCACACTTAAGGATGCCTGAGGTGAAATTAAACACTGTTAAAAAAAAAAAAAAAGAAGCAATGCTTCCCTCTGTTTTTATTCATTTTTAAATTAACAGCAAATTTTATTAGAAAGAAAAAGCCTGGAGAAACGGTGAGGAAGACTGAGGATTCACTCCATGGTATTTTCTAGAAACTTCAAGATCTCTGACTAAGTAAAGCAAGTAAATATTTCTATACACCATCAATTCTAAGTCAAGTCTCTGGAATTAAGAATTTCCAGACTATAACTAAAAAACTTTCATTTTAATTTGGGTCCACTCCCTCTCCTCATTAAAAAAAGATAAATTTAAAAGTCCACCGTGTAACCTATCAGAGCTATTAAAGGACCAAGGCAGAAAAAATGGATCAGGTTGACAGACTTGACCCTTAAACGTCAATCTTCTGATCCTGGATCTAAATGATTTGAATGTGAAAATAAATGTCTTGCAGTTAAGCTAAGGAACAAGAGGTACCTGCTTTGTTTTGGGTTCCACTAGGCCTGAGAGACTCACAGAACCCCAACACCAAACCAAACCAAACCCGCTGCCATCGAGCCGATTCCAACCCAAAGTAGAACTGCTCCATAGTTTTTCTGGGCTGTGATCTTTACAGAAGCCGGTCGCCAGGCCTTTCTTCCACAGTGCCACTGGATGGATTCGAACCGTCAACTTTTAGATTAGCAGTCGAACTCAAACCAGGGGCCTTTCACAGAACTCAGAGAGCAGAAAATTACCAGACGGTTCTTAGAAGAAACCTCAAGATACCCCGCACCTCCACTGTGGTGAGGAAAGATGAATCCTGCGGGCGGCAAAGCACAGGGTGGAGGGCATGGAGGGGTGGGTCTCCTGGGTGCTGAGGAAGGATGCATTTCTTGATTTGCATTCCCACACAGGCTTTTCCCAAATCCAGTTGAAAAAGGATAACTTGGAGAGGGCAGAGTCCCATCTGGGAAGATGAAGGGGTGGGGGAGGGACAGCCCTCAGCCCTAGAGGAGATAAGGAACAATGATATGTAAAACCAGAAAGAAAAGATTAAGGAGACTGTCTCCAGGTCCAAGGAGATAGCAATGGAGAGATGAAAGATAAAAGGAGAGATGGTTGAAAAACAAAGGGCTGAGTCCTAGCTTCTGAAAAACCCAAGGATTCTTGAAGTGAAATCTAAAATCTTTCCTAAGGCCCCCAGGAAATATGGGTAAGTTTACATGCCTAGGATGCTGGTAGAGGGCCGGAAAAAATGTTCCCACAGACAATATAATAGTGGGCTTTATAACACTTAACCAGGATGTCCACAGTGCTGAGCAGAGAAAACGTCCACAAATACTTGGGATGGTTGATCTGCTGATGGTAACAGCCGACCAGTTCAGGCTGACTCAGGACAGACCAACAGCCTGTGAGTTACCAGGTAGTGTAACAAGCAGCAAAGACATCTCTTGAAGGACGGGCTCCCGCAGGCCAGGCCGCTCCACTACAGTAATGCCTGTTCTCCCCCCACCCCCTGCCTGTACACCTCGGGGCGAAGAGATCTCTTCTAGCCAGGCTGCCTCCCATGTGCTCTGAAGGCTAAGGCAGCTGTGATGACGATGCCGAGTTCCAGGAAGCTGATGTGTTTCTTGGCTTACAGTTCAGGCTATGCCCTGGATAGGGTGGCAGCCCATGAAAGTCACCCCCTTGCCTCCCCAACCCTTGGCTGGCACGGGTTTTGGTAAAACTGAGCCTTCAAGTGTCACGTAGGGCCTCCCAGCAATCAGGGCTTGGGAGCTGCTCCAGCCACTCCTGGAGCCCCTTTCCCGGGTGAGGAGGGGCTGCAAAGAAGAGATGGGGGTGCACCACTTGTTCAGGACAGCAAAGGGCAAGGTAAAGGTTTGGGCGCCAACACAGGACTCCAGGCTGTGATATGGGCTGCCTCTTTGGTTTTCTGAACTCTGCCTCACAACAGCCCCCACTTCCTTCCCCTCAAGATGACAGGAAATGGTCAGACTCTTTAACCTACCATTCAAGGCTCTCCACACCGTGGTCTCGATTTACCTCCTGGTCTCTCCTCCCCTAGTCTCCACGTTAGCCAAACCTGAATGTCTCTGCCCAGGCTCTTCTCCATACAGAGTAAGAACCCTACACCACCCCTCATAAGCCACTTTCCAAACAAAGCCTCCCCCATTCCTGCCGGCCCAAGGCTTTGGATTCAGAGCACACTTTACCTCTATCTCTGTCCTAATAACAGTAGCTAGAGATTTTTGAACACCTTGTGTCACAGGCTAAGCGCATTATCTCATTTAACCCTCACCCCAACCCTATGAGGACAAGTCCACTGTCCAGATGAGGAAATTAAGGCACAGAGTGGTTAGGTAACTTGTCTCCAAGGTCACAGGGCTGTTGCATGGTACAGCACAGTGAATCCAGTTTCTAAACCCTGTAAGTTTCATTCGGGCAAAATTTGTGACTCTTGGCATAGCGCTTGAGAGAACAGATGTGCTCACTCAGTCAC